TATATATATATATATGTTGATTTTTTCTAAATTATTAATATATTTTATAAATTTAACATTGATTTTTATTATATATATGAGATACGTACAGTATTCCGGGCAGCCATTGAACCACATGTTGGTTGTCTGTATGGGGATCCCCCTTCTCTTTGAACTCTCTGGCTCAAACCCCTCGGTTTAATGGTCCAAAATCCTGTCCTCCCTAACCTCCTCCCTTCAAAATTTCAAATCTCGCCGCCGAGGCTCAGCGGTAGGAAATTTGCACTGGACGAAAGGGCGGAGGGTTTGACTGCGAAGCTAGGGTTCCTGCTCTTATATTTCCTTGGTTTTCTCCTGTTTTCCGTTACTCATCTGGTACTCCCTCAACTGCTCCCTTTCTTCCGCATATTTATTGCACAACATGCTTTGCCAAGTCTTCATTTATGCTCGTTTTCCCGTGTTTCTGCTCTATCCACAGTTCCTTCCCTTCTTTTCAGTTGGGAAGTTTTGTTTGTATCTTGTTGTGTTGACTACGGATCTGGGTTTCATTGCTGCTTGCTACGCGTTGGCTGCCAATGAAAACCTAAGTCTGTTTGGAGGTGGCATCAGTTAGGGTTTGGGCTATGCCAGGCGGAGGAAAGAGCTGCAATGGGGTGGTGAAGACTGGGGATTTGAGCACGGATGGGTTTATCACGTACAGAAGGAAGAAGCGGGCAAGAGCCGTTGCCGATGAGGTTGGGTACTTCTTGCTTCCTTTGTTCTTATTTTAATATTGAGAAGTTCCTAATTTGATCGTGTTTTTTTCCTAGTTAAGAGACTTGGACGTAGATGTAACTGTCCTCTCCGGCATGATTTTTAACTTCTGATTCTAACCCTTAACCTTTTTGTGCGTGTTTATTGCTTTGAACATCTTGTTTTCATCAAAGATTTGTGTCCATTTTCTAGAGGTTTAGTGTTGAGTTTAGACAGATGGAGACATAGATACATAATGTACGGGTTTTTGGGTTTTAGGGAACAGGGAGTCTTTTAAATCTAACACGCTAATTCTTTGATTGCTTTCACTGCAATGCAGCTGCTGTGTGAATTAAATATTAGGCTTATAGAAATGCTGGAAGAAATTAGGAACTTATCCAAGCGGGCTATTTTAGGCCGGTCTTTGATGAGTTGCTGTTCAACCTTGGTTACTGGAATATCTAGAACAAAAAAGTTTGCTCTGTTCTATTTTTTGGGTGTTCATTTACCAAATATTATCTAAATGTTTAGATTCCCTCTTGGAGATATGGCCATCTAATGCTCGATTATTACACGCCCCATGTTACCACCCTAGAAACTGGTCCATCCAAGGTGACTCCAAAAAAGATATAGTTTTTTAATTTAATAAACCTATTTAAGTTATAAAAAATACGTTTAAAGAGTAGATGTTTATAATCTTCACATTAATATGTGGAAACTAATTAATTTTCTGGTTACATTGTATTGCAAGTTCCAATTCTTATTAAATAATTTATTATAATTTCATTATCTGATTGAAATCCTTCAATATTTTAAATAGCTATATTCTAATTGTGTTTTTGCTTACTTTGTAACCTTATCATTATCACTATTTATTCCAACTGTATTATTATCAATGTCCTTAACCATTAGTGGATTTGTATCCTCCATCTGCTCTATTCTTTGAACCCATACCCTTCTTTCTCAAACCTTAATTCACGACTCTACCACTTGCTTTAGATTTCTCTTGTTTTCAAGCAAAAATTCTTAATTTCCAACTCAAGCTGCTCTTTCTATACACCTTGGTAAATTTTCATCATTAATAATTGGCTCTTCTTCTTCTTCTTTATTTTAAGCATTGATATTTATCTCTTCAATCAAGGCAAGGCCTAACCTTATTTTTTGGTGCCTTAAGGTTTTCGCTTGGAAGGTTTGATAGGTGCTATGGCCTAGCTTAGTTTTGCCCCACTTGATCAATCTCTTAAATAAGCATTTAGATTGTCTTTAAAAATTTTTACCCATATTCAATGTGATTTACCTAAAATTTTTAACCCTCTCTTATCTATACTCTCTCTCTCTCTCTCAATATTTTCACATCTTTTTCTCTTGCGCACTACGCCGCTTAATGGTTTCTTTCTCGCATCTTCCTCAGTTTTCTTTCACTTTTTCATTGCCACCTCTTTCATCACCATTCATCGGCCAGTGCAATAGAATTTTCTAAACTCTTTCCCCACCCTTTTTTCATCTGTTTCTGTGATTGACATCTGGATCTCATTGGTCGGAGAGTGCGTTTTTGCTTTGTTCTTCAATATCTTGTGTTGTGTTATATTTTTTATGTTTGCATTGTTGAACTTTATATCCTTTTTCATTAGTAGGTTTCTTGCCTAATATTATGGATCTATAGTTTGTTTTATACTGGACAACTAAATGCTATCATTTCAAGTTAGATACTTGTTAATTTACAATATACAAAGTCCTTCAACATGCTTGTAACCAAATTAACCTTAATTATGCACATCTCATTTCCCCTCTCTATAGCTTCATCTCTAAAAATGATTCTGCAATCCTCTTTTATAAACTTCGTCCTCAATCCATGCCAACATGGTTTCAATTGTCTTCTAATTTTATTAATTACATGGCCCCTCAAGTTTCTGCTAGCATGGTTTGAACTGACTTTGGCATTGTCAAACTAGATGTGAAAGGACATTGAGACGAATATGGCATGTGAATTTTGGTCATCTAATGGCTGCATAGCTGAAAGTAAAATATACTTGACTCTTTTGTTACAGAGTAGAAAACATTTTACTCTTTTTGAATGATATAAAAATATTGGGCCTTCTAAAATATTGTGGCAAATACACTTGAGTGTATCGGCATCATTTTCTTACATTATCTTTAATGGTACACATATTAAGGAAAATAATGCCATTTATAGATCAAAACCTAGTTTTTCACTTCATTTTTTTCTCACGTGTGAACCTGTATAGCCTGCTCTTCTTTCTTCTAGTTTTGATCTTCCCTATTTTCTTTGTTCTCACAGAGAGTGGAATGGAGAAGAATAAGAACTTAGAAATTGTTCACAAGCATTATGAAAATGTCGCTTGCTTTACTTGCTGTGATCATCCCTTAAGTTTTAAAATTTATTGAAGCTTTAGCGGTCATTAACTGAACTTATTTCTCTTTTACACCTTGTTAATTCGCTTCATTGAATCCATGTACATGTCTATGAAAGGCTTGTCAGTTATATATTTTTTGTTTCACTAGTTACATGCATCTGACAGTTTTCTTGTAGCAGTTTGTGAGGGGTTCTCTTGATGGTGCCCATGACCATGATGCATTTAGTAGAACTGGTAGCCACTGGAGAAATTCTTTGGAATACATGCTTCATCTTCCAGGTGTAGGTGAAGGTGGTGGTATCCAGAGCTGCATTCAGGATGCGCTTGAGTCCTGCCCTCCTAGCTTCACCTGGAAAACTAAAATGGATGTTCCTGTTGCTATTTTGCAATCAGAGGTATTATAGTTGTACTTCCTTTCTAAATCAATATTGCACTATGCTGAATGTGTTCAAATAAAAAATTTATGTATTTCCAGGACAGATATGAGGGCAACTGTGAAATTGAGGATCCGCCTGAGGTTAAGGTTGTTCTTTCTGAATGTTTTGCAGATGAATCAAACATAAAGTTAGAGGGTCAAAGTGAAGTGAATAAGAACACTGCAAAGTGCCAAAAGGTTTTATTGGAAATTTTTTGTTCAGATAATTTTGCTTCCTTGTGTGATCTAGTCGGTGAAAGTTTCCATGATAAAACTGTTAGAAAATTACTCGACTTCAGTTTGATAAATTCAAAGCTGAAAAATGGAGTATATGAACAGGTGCCTGTTTCATTTCTTGAAGACGTTCAGCAGGTATTCTTCACCCATTCATCTTGGAGTGATTATGCTGTTTATTTCCCATTTTATCTTGTATTATTCATATGCTAGTGTTTTCCAATCAATTAAGGGTTACAAAAATGTTTTTTGGTTCAATGATTAATCATTTTGCTCAAAACTTTCTTCTAAAATAACATAATTAATCATTGAGGGAAAATTTAAGTTATTGATATTGATATTAACTATGCTTAATTGGAAAAGCTTGCTATGGATATTGGTCATTCCCATTTGCTTCCATGCATCTATGTGTAGCTTTTAACCTTAATTATACTACCTATGAGGCTGGGGGTGTAAACGAGCCGAACACGAGCGAGCCAGGGCTCAGCTCGTCTTCGGCTCGTTTATATTTCGAGCTCAAAAAGTGTGTTCGTGTTCGGCTCGTTTGCTTAACGAGCCGAACACCATTCACAAACAAAGTGTCGTTTTGATAACACTAATCAGGTAGTCATAAGATTATAATGATTGAGACTAAATTTTTTTAAAAAAATTTATATTAAAACATCATTTGAATCTAATTTAATAATTTTTATTCTGTTTTTTTTAATTAATACTTGTAATTGATTATAAATATTTATAGTCTTGTAGTCAATTAAGTTTTTTAATATATATATACATACATATATATACATGAGATCGGTGTCAGAGAGTAGGTAATAATTCAAAAGGAAATGAAATGCCTCTAAATTTTAATTTGCAAGTTGAAATTTTTTATTCATGGGGATTAGATTTTATGGGACAATTTATACCTTCATTTGGAAATAATGAGGCAATCACTTTTTTAATGACTTATTTGCAGCTGTGCTATTTTTTCCCGCCTCCTTAATGCCCTAATTTACTGATATATTTGTGATATCTAATTTAGATGTTAGATGTCTTATTAATTGTGTCTATTGTCAACATATTCAGTGTCCTTGCTTTATTCTCAACTTGGGTTGCAAGTATTTATTAGAACTATTTAGTTTGGTCTTTTGGTGTGAAAATATGATAGTTTTAATAATTTGCAAACATGGTTTAATGCCAGAATTTCTTGAAATCATAACAAACAATGGCAATAGTAGTAGGTTTTGAAAGAAATCCTATTAGAACCGCCAGGTAACTTTGAAGTGAGGCCAGGGTTTTTTTTGCTCACAAAATAGGTTGAACTATTTCTGTTGTTTGTTTTGAAACTGTCTTTTTTTACGAAGATGCCAAACGACAAGGAGTTTTATACAAATAAAACCCTTTTTATTTAGTTTAGATGCTATAGTATTTTTTGCATCTGTTGGCTTTAATTTTTTTTTTTTGAAATTTTTTTGTCAAACGTAATGTTTGTGCTGCTTGATTTTTTTTTTTTCTTTTGGTTAGAATTTGCTGTATGTTGTTTTAAGCTGATTCTTTATCCCTCGTAGATTAATGTTATAATTTGAACTGGGATGGATCCCGAATTTATTACATGATTTTTTTGCTGTTTTTTGTTTGTTTCTTTTTAAATGAAACTCTTTCTTAACTTTGACACAGTTGTGGTGCAAGTTCCAAAAAATTGGTCACGACATCCAGCTTCTTTCTACTAGCCTTTCCAAACAGTCGAGGATTTCTTATGGACAGCTGGTAAAATTATATTTTGATCTTTTTGGTTGGCTTAATTTCTTACTATGATTTTCTGTCAAGTATCTTTACTTTTTAGTTAGTATTTCTTTAATGATTCTAGGATCTATTTTCTCATTTATCTCATTCTCAACATTGAACTTACATGTATTTTGCCTCTTTTTTAGGTTGGAGAAAAGATGGAATTGGAGGCTGGTGAAGAAAAGTTTGAGGTAAATAATGTTTTAACCCAACTAGCTATTATTGAATTTTTTCTTTGTAATATGTCTTATCTTTTTCATTTTGCTTAAATTTATTGCAGCAGAACCCTCACGGTGTTGCTGAGCTGAAGAACTCCATGAGCTCTCATGTAAATGGACAGTTCCCTTTGAGTGAATCTGGTCGGTCTAATAAACTGGATCAAAGCGAAGCTTCTTGTCTGTGTAAGGTCTATGCATGTAAGCTGTGTGGCACTGAAACACTTGGTGAGCACAGGCTTATATGTGATGGTTGTGAAGCAATATATCATTTCTCTTGCGTTGAGCCTTCAAGTCAAGTGGCCCCTTCCCGAAGCTGGTACTGTTCTTCTTGTCTTAAAGATGAAAGCAAATCACCAGCTGCTGTTAAGGATAATCAACACAAAGTCTCGCATAAAAAGTGGGGCATCTGTGATAGGTCTGAAGGTTTTATGGTGGAGGAAAACATGGTTAATAACATTGAGTATCATTGTTCTAATAAACCATGCCAAAGTGAGGCATCTTGTCGTTACAAGGTCTATAAATGCAAGCACTGCAGCACTGAAGCGCTTGGTGAGCACAGCCTTATATGTGACGGGTGTGAGGAAATTTACCATTTCTCTTGTGTTGAGCCTTTTGGTGAAGAGATTCCCACGCGAAACTGGTATTGTGCTTCCTGCCGTGTTGACAGAAGTGCAGCACCAGAACCTGTCATTGAAATTGAACAAGATGGCTTACACCAGAATTGTGCAGTCTGTGATAGGCTTGAATTTTCTGAGGCTGAGAAAGACATCACTAATGATACCAGGGAGAGTTCTGTTTCAAACATGGAGTCAGATGGTCCTCGAGAACCATCTAGAACTGCCTTGGCACATTTGTGCAAGCTATGTGGAACTTGTGAGGATGAAGACAGGAGATTCCTGACTTGTGGGAACAATTACTGCCCTTACAAGTACTACCACATCAGATGCCTAAGAAACAGTCAGATTGCTAGTCAGCACCAACAAAGCTCACATTGCTGGTATTGCCCATCGTGCCTGTGTAGAGCTTGTTATTTAGATCAAGATGACACTGAGATTGTACTATGTGATGGTTGTGATGATGCTTACCATACTTACTGCATGAAACCACCGCGAACCTCCATTCCTAAGGGCCAGTGGTACTGTGTCCAGTGCAACATGGCTAGGGCAAAGGAAGGAATACGAAGGCACGAGCAATGGATCTTACAGCAGCATTGCAAGAAAGATGCCTTCCAAACTACTGAAAATAATCGTCCTTTGGATATATTGCTGAATGCTGTTGAGAAGGTGAGCTCAGAAGATTGATGGGCATAAACACCAGTTCACTTGGAACAATCCCATGGCCTTGTGATGAATTTCTTGCTGGTAAGGATATTGTTGCAGCAGTTGTATACTTTTCTCATGACAAGATAGTGGTCCATTTGTTTTGTAACTTTAGATGTTCACTTTTACCAATTCTTTTAGTTCTCTTTTCTAATTCCATGATTGGCACAACAATGGAAGAGCTCTCATCTCATTCAAGATCTTGCAGCAGCCTAAATTATTCGGAGTAGAAGGATACTGTATTCATTGAACTTTTTTCTGTTTAAAAAATCTCAAACTTTTTTTGGCAGTTTTAATTTGTCTTTATAAATTCCTTGCTGCTTTATTTAGCTGAATGTTGGGAGGTTTCTTCTGAAAAAGTTTCTGTAGTTTTGAATGCTTACTTGCTCAGTCTATAAAAAATTGAAAATACCGAGCAGTTTGTTACCTTTTTCTTGTGCTTCGGTAATCTCTCTCTCTCTCTCTCTCTCTCTCTCTCTATATATATATATATATAGATATATATATAATCAATACTCTTTCTGATGATCCCCATTGCAGATCTTTTTTTGCATGTTTTCTGCTGGTTTATCTTTAGCTCTCATCTCATTAACTACTTGCATTTCCACAAATTGTGTATTCGTCGGACATGAATACAAGTTTTCTTGACACATGATGTGCTGATTTGCTCATTTCATTTTTTTGTTATTATTTCGTCCTTTTTCTGTTGTGCATATTGATCACGAGCTTGATAGTTGAGACTGCCCTATTATAGACCGATCCAAATCTTTGTATCAAACCGGCATTAGGTTGAAATACTTGCGGACGCATTCTTTCCATACCATTCTGTTTAACTCAATTTGTTGGCTTCCTAATTGTATGAACGGGTTTTAGACAATTGAGATCTACCTCATTATGCTTTACTTTCTGCTGTTTGGTAGTTGAACATAACTGACTTGCCGAAATCCCCTGCCGCAAACAACGATTTAAGGACATTTAATGTGGACCATCCTTTTATCTTGATGCATATGCTTCAATCTTTGCTTCTTTGTATTCTGGAAATATTTAATTGCTCTATTGGTTTTGCTGTGTCTTTTGTTTTAATCTGTTTTTCTGTTGAAATTTAGTGATTTCAGTGGGCTTTTAACACATCCACTCATAACCTCGCCCACCCACATAAAGAATCATGACATGAATATTTTGATTTTATACACCTTTCAATATTCTTCACATATGCTTGTTTTTTTGTGCTGAATTTGGGTATGATTAGTCCCACTTTTGCATCTAGAAGTTGTGTTATTCATGTCGAGTTAATTTTTAAGAATTATGCTAGAAAAAAAAAACATTTAAAATACTGATGTTGGCGAAGATGAATTGGATCATTACCCTTATTTTCCTGTTTTTAACTATTTGTTCGGATTTATTTGAGCTTGTGTATTGTGGTACTCAATTTTTTGATTAAAAAAGAGCATTTACTTGCATATCAAATAATTGTTATGTATTTATATATTTAGCACTTCAAACTTTCATATTTTTATTTACATGCCTAGACTTTATGCTAGATTTAGCTGTTTAAGAGTGCATAGATTTATGACACTAATTATGAATATAAATCATAAATTTGGTATTAATATATAAATATATAATGATATGTATTCAAAATTTTCTAAAGAAAATTGGAGCCGGTTCATGTTCGGCATTACTAGTTCTGGTCACCAGACCAAAAGACCCAGTTTAAAGGCTGCTTCTGAACTAAGGTAATAAAAAACTCTTTTAGAAGAATTGTTCTCTTTGCTAAAGAGCTTCATTCGCGTTTGGCGCAGCTTATTTGCCGCGTCTGTGTTTTCAAAATGCTAATTAAGGCTGCGTTTGGTGCAGCTTATTTGCCGCGTCTGTGTTTTCAAAATGCTGCCATGATATTTGTTTTCAGCGTGCACAGTGCGTTTCACGATAAGCTGTGTTCATTTTATATTAAACGCCCGTCGCGGGTTCCATCCTGTGGCCCGCGCTCGGAGAAGAGGCTTTACGTCTCTACCCTTCCGTGCCCTCTCGCCCATCCTCTCATCCAGAGCCGATCCTCTCCTTTGCTGGTTTCGATCGCTCCGAAAACTCCCCTCTCGCCGTGAAACATCGATGGGACTAGCGGCTAGTGGCGAAAATGGAGTTCGCGAGACATGCGGATTTACGCATGGAGCATGCTTTTTTCTTTCCTTCCTCCTTTCCTCCAATACAGAACAACTCCTCTATTTACTATTATATATTTCGGGTATTCCTGTAAGGGTAGAGAGATGGGCGAGCAAATTCAACGACCGGTCGGTGAAGTGAGTGCCGATGATGTGGTGGCGAGGCTGCGTGAGAGCTTTTCGTCAAGGAAGAGGAGGTGCTATGAGTGGAGGGCTGCTCACTTGAAGGGCAACATGAGGATGATCGACCAGGAGGAAAACATTATCTAAGCGCTGGATGAAGCCTGAGAAGGTAACGGGCTCTGGGATTAGGGCAATAAGAGAGAAATTGTTTATATGTTTTCTCCTTTTTATCTGACATGATTTTCCCCTCATCAGCAGAGACTGTGCCAGAGCCCCTTGGTGTTGTGCTGGTTATTTCTATTTTGAATTATCCATTTTTATGTAAATTGGTCCACTTTTTAATATCTAAATTGAATTAAATTGGTTATGGAATTATAACTTATAACAGTTTATGATTCTTTTATTTTTGACCATAGCTTGGCTTTCTTCTTATTTTCCTCCTCAAAAGCATATCTTATCTATTTATTGCATTGCAACTCATTAATATAGATCAATCTTAGCACTACATGCATCTAATAGGAATATTTTTCGGTGGTCTGTATGTATCAAATGAGTCTGAAGAGGGTTAAATGGTTCTAAAATATCTAACATGAATACATTATCATTTTGTTGAGAAAATTACAAATTTTGCATGACAAATTGTTCATTTAACTAAAAAAATCTACAAATAAGCTGTTTACAAAACACATAACCAAACAACAATAAATAGCTAAACAACTTATCCAGAAATAGAAGCATAATGATTATTTATTCATAATCAATTGTTTTCCAAACGCACAAACCAAACAGTCAATCAGCTTATCCGGATCAGCTGCTCATCAGTAGATTATCAGGACAACCTGCTAATCAGCATAAGCTGGATAATCTGCAGCTGTCCCAAACAGACCCTAAATTTCTAATTCCATCTTTATCAAATAAGAAAGAGTTTGTTTCAGGATTAAATATCACATTTTCTTTAATATGACGGTTGTTTTCGTGGTTTGTGATTTTAGAAAATAATATTCAAATATTCTCGAGCCGTATTTATGTTGCAGGAGCTTATGATGTGTTTAGGGGTGTAAACGAACCGAACACGAACGAACAGAGCTTGTGTTCGTGTTCGGTTCGTTTGAAATTTAGTTTGTTTGAAATAAGCTCGTGTTTGAAATTGTTCGTGAAGTCACTGTTCGTGTTCGTTTCTTGACAAACAAGACAAACAAGCCGAACACCTGCTGTTCGCGAACGGCGAGCCAATTTGACATCCCTAGTAATATTTATGTAGCATGCAAAAAGGTAAAACTTCTCGTGTTAATTCCAACATGTGAGAATTGATAGTGAAAATTGTGGCCACTTCGTAACGATGAAAAACACATTCTTTTACGTAGCTCAAGCTTTGTAATTCTGGTTTTTTTTTCTCTCAAAAGAAACGTTTTGAAATTCACGTGTTAATTCCAACATGTGAGAATTGATAGTGAAAACTGTGGCCACTTCGTAATGATGAAAAACACATTCTTCTACGTAGCTCAAGCTTTGTAATTCTGGTTTTTTTTCTCTCAAAAGAAACGTTTTGAAATTCACTCATATAAACAAGGCTTAGAAAACAAAATTATGTTTTTTTAATATTTTTTTTTCATAACTTTTGATCACATTTCATTTGTGAAGAGTTTTAGTCCTTGAATTAGTGTCATTTACATACATACCGTATTTTTTTTATGAATTATATATCCAACACCTAAACTCTAATGTTCATATTCTAGCACTCAAGTTTTTTATAACAAATAAAATAAAAAAAAAACACCATTATTACTAACATTTTAAAAGTGCGTTACACATCTTCATGCATCGGTAACGTGATATTTTTGTAAATAACAAAGTTTCTGTGTTAGATATGTAAATACATAGGAATTGTGGGTTATATTTGTAAATCTTGCTCTCTCTCTCTCTATTTATATCTTATAAAGCTCTATCTAGTGCATTTATTGTTCATCAAGCCTTTTTCAATGTTCAATTTTAAGGTTGATATTTTATAGCTTGTTTTTATGAAGACAAGATTGTAGTTATGATGGTTGAAAATTTTCTTTAAGCTAATTATATCAATAAATGCCTATGGATCGGCGGAACATGACACCATGTGATAGAGAAAATAATATTTTGAGCATATTTAGCGAGATCACAGATTGACCCAGGTTGATAGCTTAATGAACTTTGTCAATTCACTTTAACTCAGCAAGGCTACAACTCACATCAACTTAATAAGAAGAATGTGTTCTCATCTGCTTCTCTCATATGCTTGAAATGACATTAATTACATTGACAGGCACAACTTACACTTTAGGGTACTTTAAGCTGTCTTAGTCTTTTTTTTTGTATAGTCATCTACGTAATATTCTTTTTGCACGACACCCATATCCCGTAAATAAAGGGGAAGGGGCCATCCTCAAAAGGGGAGGACCTTTTATCACCATTTTGCTTAGATTAATTGAGCACAACATTACAGTTTAGGGTAATTTAAGCTGTCTTAGTCTTTTTTTTTTTGTATAGTCATCTACGTAATACTCTTTTTACACGACACCCATATCCTGTAAATAAAGGGGAAGGGGCCATTGAGGACCTTTTATCACCATTTTGCTTAGATTAATTGTTAAATCATTTTCTCCATTTTCTCTTCTCTTACAAGCTCTACATAGGTGGTGTGAGACCACTGATATTTTTGAATTTAACACATGCTAAGGTGCGGTGAGTGTAGATCATATGCTAGACGTGGAGCTTTGCACAGAGAAGAAGTTCAAGCGTGAGAAGATTCTGTCAACATGGAAGTTCGTAGATCATTCGATGAATTATTTGAGAAAAAAAAAGATGTTGATGCTTCAGAAATGTTAGAGCATGTGCCTAGAGTTACACCCAGAGTTTAGATGACATCTAGATCAACTAGATTTGTATTTTATAAAGGCAAGTTGTCAATTGTGAGAGCAAGGAGG